CAGTTACACTATATGAAACCATACCGTCAGTGTATGAAACTGAGATAGCAATATATAAGATGATTTTGTCAATATATGATTCCAGTTCTTCAATATATTATACCACAGTAGCCATGTATGGAATCAGATGCCCTTTTATGAAACCAAATTATCAATATATCAATTCATTTTACAATATATGAAACCAATTTATCAATTTTTTAAACCAAAGTAGAAATATATAAGTTGGTTATCACATTATATGATACCAATTCTTCCATATATGGTACCAACGCAGCCCTAAATGGAACCAGATATCCATATATTGAACCGATTGTCTATTGTTTACATACAATTTATTATCGACGATTCGTGTCTTGTTTCCGCGGTTTTCTTCTCGTTTGCCGTGTTCGAAAAGTGCCTTCCTTGCCTCCCTGTATTGTTGTGGTGATTGTTTTCCTACGCCTAGGTTTGAATATTTGAGCAACTTTTTATGGGGTCTTTATATATTGTTTTAGCGCACTGCTACGCGATCTGCATATCTGTGAAATTTTACCACAATGGGGCGTGGTTTTCGAGCCCTCTGTCCCCCTAATCTGTGTGCTCTATATTTTACTCTCTTTACATTCAGGCGAGGAAATGCTGACCAGTTAAATATATATTGTAATACTATCGGAAATTTTTTTCTGTATAAACAAAGAAGGCCCGAAGCGTGCATTATTCTACAACAATGCACTTTTATTAATGCCGTTCTTATTATCTCCCTGTGTATTTTCACATTGAGGGTGCCATTTGCTTTGAAAATATGATTAAATACACAAAAAACAGATTTTGTCGAATCTTGTTGTAAAAACTATCTAAAATTAAAGAAATTGGTCTAACTCAGAAAAGATTCCGAACACCAATATCTTTAATTCAGTCGTGAACGCTGCACAGACGTTTAAAGTGTTGTTTACGTGACGTAACAACAGCGCCAAACAGCACGTGCAAAACAATCAAATCAAGTACGCTATTTTAATATCGCAAACGAGTACAGTTTTACATTTATTTCACATTTTATAATAATTTGTATTTGGCTTGAAATATAGAGTGAAATAAAATAAACAAACAAAGTTTTATCAACGTTTTCAAAATTCGTTATTCTCAAAATGTTTCCACACGACAGTTTTTTTCAGCCCACTGGAACAGCCTTTAAAGAACTTTCTATTTGAAACTCTGAGGCGAAAACAAATTTAACCACCAAACAAAGTCCAACTTTTTATAAGAATAATTAACAATTTTTTCTTGACTGTTAGAATAGAAAAACATATTAATTCTTCGTGCATTATTGTATAATATAGCACGTTTTTCGTTCAAATGCTTTGTAATTTATCACTCAGGCCTACCGGCCTTCGTGATAATATTACTACGCATTTGAACTCAAACCGTGCATTATTCTACAACTGTTACAATGCACTCAGAATTGATATCTTTTTCATAAGTAGAATCTGCTGATCAGTAAGATATATAGAGAAAAATATATTTTGCCGTGAAATTGCTATTCATATTTTTAATGCATGTAAATTTTATATATAATATAAAATCATGACGACTATTTAATGTAGTAAAAAAACTTCTGATCAATTTAACATTAATGTGAATTGAATTTAGCCGTTAAACTCTTTTTATTCTATATGGTCAGCAAATTTAACGCTCTTAACATTCAGGCGAGAAAATGCTGACCAGTTAAACATATATTGAAAATGCTGACCAGTTAGATATATAATTTAGTTAAAAACTGCTGACAAATTATTAAAGAGAGAAAAATGATATCTTGCCGTGAAATTCTTATTATTTTTTTTAACTCACTTGAGCTAGCTCAGGGTGAGCTTTTTGGATCTTTGAATGTCCGTCGTCCGTCAGCACGTGTTCGTTAACACTCTCGTGGTCACATTTTTACCACAATCATCATCAAACTTTGTCATGATGCTTATCTAGTTGATAGCGCGGATGAGTACGAACATGGGTCATCTCGGATGCAAAACTAGGTCACAGGAGCTAAAAATGGAAAACCTTGTTAACACTTAACACTCTAGTGGTCACATTTTTGAATCAATTATCATCAAACTTGGTCAGGATACTTGTCTAGGTAATTGCTCGGACGAGTTTAAACATGAGTCATCTCGGATGAAAAACAAGGTCACAGGAGCTAAAAATAGAAAAATCATGTTAACACTTAGTAGCTACTGTTTTGATCCAAATATCCTGTAAATTGGCCTGAAAGTTTGTTTGATGATATCTAGGTCACACCGCCCAAATATGGAAAAACCGTGTTAACACACTAGTGGTCACATTTTTTACTTAATTAACGTCAAACTTGGTCAGTATGCTTGTCGTAGTAATTGCTCGGATGAGTTCGAACATGGGTCATCTCGCATGAAAAACTAGGTTTTGCCTACCAAAGTTCCTTTACTCGACGTTGAAAATTTTTCTTTACACATCCGTAAAATACAGACATAAAAGCGACGTACAAGTAATTTGTGCCAAGGATAACACAAGCGCGTGTTATTTCTAAACTCTTTATTAAGATAAACCGAATAAATAAACACTAGCTCTGGAAACGCTTTTACAGAGATTTCTTGAAATCGCTGGCAATGTTGATTTCGTAATCCATTATTTCAGAGGCGGTGGTGCATCGGTTGCTGCAAATGCTTTCGTCAGCGATGTCACGCTCGGTGGAAACGTGATAAGAGCAAAGGCGGCTATGTTGTCGGTTCTTTAGCTAGAATTGGTTTATAATGTCATTCAGAATCCAGGGCGTTCTTTTAGAATTATTTACGTACCCGTCTGCCCCTGCGAATATGGTGTTTGTTGTTATTTTAGTTAAGGTAATATTTGTAAAGTGATAAATTAATTATCATTCAGGTCGAGTTGTTTACAGTATAAGGCGTTGTTTTCGTTTGAAATAAGAATTAAGTCTTCAAAATAAAGGTTGTACCCAAAATTCATTGAAAATAATCATTTTTTACAGAAAGAGCTTTTATTGACGTTTAAAGACTCAAGAGAAAAAGACACATGCGAACAGAATGTGTTTATTTTGAACTAAACTGAGTTGGGTATTATCATACGGAAATTTTGATACTTCTGTGGCCCAAAAGCAGCCTTTTGAAAATTTTGTATTAACTTGCCATGTTTTCTTGAATTGACCATAGGTTTGCAAACATTCATAAGTAATTCCTTACTTTTATAATCTCGCCTGTAATTATGCATGGAGAGGCACAAGGTGTATTTCTCAAAAAGTGAAGCTGGAATATCGCTATATGGCCTTTTTGTGTTGGTGTGACCTCAAATCCGGCAAAACAAATGAACAAAGCCTACACAAAATATGAATTTTTATTGCACATCGATAAAGTACGCAGAGGATATTTGTACGCGTACTAAGATATATTCTTTGAAAACTTCTTGAATATCATATTTAACATGACATCAATTTATTTTGAAATTTTGTAATTTAACACCTGTAAACAGTAGAATTTTTTAACAATATGACAAGATAAAACAACGTTTTATATGTTTTAAGCTCAGTTATCACAAAGTGACATGGTGAACTTTTGTGATCGCTTTTCGTCCGGCGTCCGTCCGTCCCTCCGTAAACTTTCACTTTAAACGATACCTCCTCATAAACCGCTATGCCAATTTTATCCGAACTTTTTCACAGGAATGTTTCTTTTGTAGCCAACTTTAAAAAAAAAATCAAAGAATTTAGTTCCATGCAGAACTCTGGCTGCCATGTCAACTGAAAGAAAAATATAAATCTTCTTTGATAAAACCAAAGGAGCTACAGCTTAAATATTTGACATGAAACATCGTCTAGTCAGTATCAACAAAATTTATTTACATAAAAGCCCTTGGGTAAAAATTGGCACCGCCCCCTGGGGGTCATTATTTTTCCTTATAAGTATGTAGTAAAAACTTAAATAATCTGCTTTTAAAAACCCAACGTGCTAAAGCATATATATTTTGCATGAAACATCTTCTAGTTTGTGTCTACCAAGTTTGTTAAAATAAAAGACCAGGGTTCAAAATTGGCCCGCCCCCGGGGGAAACTAGAATCACTGTATTAGTGCACTGTATGTTATCAGATGCGATAAGCAGGCATAATATTTTCCCAACTGATGAGTTGGCTTAGCTACATAAAGTCAAAGTTGATGTTCTTGACAAAAACTTAATCATAACTTGATCACCAAACATCAAGTTGAAGTTTCAACCAAGTATAATATTACGTGACTTAGGTATAGCATTTACGACAGATGAGAAGACAGTGAAATACACATTTTTATTGAATTGAGGTGGTCTGAAAGTAACATTGTATTAATCTTTGCCTTGACCTAAGTGTAGGCGACTGTTTATTTCACATGACACAGCGTCTCATTATTGTGAACATTTGTGCCAAGTATGAACAAAATCCCCTGATCTATGAAAAAGTTATAGACCAGACACAAAAATACTCTAAAACAGAGTATGTTAGTTTTTTACCTATAAGTGGGACCTTGAACTACGAGGTAGGGATGCAGGTGTTGCCCATGACAAATTGTCTTATTAATGTGACCATTTGTGCCTAGTATTTTCAAAATTCTCAAATAGACAATGTTGACCTTGAATGAGCAAGTGCAACCTTGACCTTGGAGGTAGGAGTCTTGTTGTTGCGCATGGCACATTGTCTTATTAAAACAAACATTTGTGGCAAGTTATTTTAAATTCCTTTGATTAATGACAAAGTTATGGACCGGACACGAAAGTATGACGGACCGACGGAAGACAGACGGATGGACAGGCGGACAGAGACCTCGGGTCAAAATGTGCCCAGCCCTAGGGTGAAATAAATTTTCCTAATATGTATATAGAAACATATTTAAAAGACCTTCTTTAAAAAACCAAATAGCTAGAACTTAAACATCTGCTTGTTAGTGTCTACCAAGTTTCTTAAAATAAAAATGCTGGGGTCAAAATTGGCCCTGCCCCCGGGGTTCGTTGAATTTCCTTATATGTACACATCTTTTGGAACTGTTGTTTTTTTTCTTAGAAATAGCAACCATTAATGTTTTTACACATGCACTATTTCAGAAACAAATATGAACTTTGTGATATCAATTTCAGATTTAGATTTTTTATATGCATTTTTATAGTTTACAATATTACTTGTTCCTTGTCATGAAAAGCTTTTATATACAGGTGAGCGATTTCAGGGCCATTATGACCCTGTTTTTTTTTAATACAAATAAAAAATGCCATCAGTGATCTATGATTTGTTTGCAGAATATTTTCAAATCACTAATCATGTCGAACAGTTTAGACAGATCCAAACCAGTTATTCCACCAAAGACTAAAGAAATATTAAACAAGGCTACAAAGTTCATAAAAGAAAACTCTTTAATGAAACAAAATGTCGACAGTCATGTCCTGAAAAAACACCCAAATGTACCTCCAAAATCAGTTTTGAAACGTATTTTGGATAAAAAGACTGCTGTCACTGATTCCAAATGTTTACACTTACCAGCAAAAGATGAAAGTGTTAAAAAACGCCCATCAGTACCACCAAAACCAACACTTAAGCCTAAAACTGACAGTAAAGACGATGAAGCAATCTTCACCAATTTACAGGAAGATGCTAAGGAAAACGAAAGTGTAACTGGACCTTCAAAACCGGTGCTTGGATCAACTGTGTCAGAAAAGAATGATATAAAAGATTTAAGTCAACAGAATTTGATAAATGATTATAATAGTCATGATGCACAAGTGCAAACTGCTCATCAAAAAAACACCCCAAACAATGAATATAAGCAAAATGTGTTTTTATTGAATAATGAAAAGGAAATATACGCTAGCTTCGGTCTCTCACAAAATGCATCATTCCAAAAACAAAATACAACAGAAAAACCGTTATTTCATAACGTAACTGGAAAACTTATGGAAGGAAATGGCAACGCAAATAAGACAAACGAAACGCAAATTTTAACTTCGACCAGTGGTTTAAGTATTAAAAGTTTTTCAAATCTGAACACAAACAATGATAAAAACGATAAAGGTGATAAGACTGTGGAAAGAAAAGAAGATATGAGCGATAAAGTAGACATTCTTTTAAATGTTAATAAGACATTTATGCCTGAAGACTCATCGAATGAAAGACTTTCAGAAACATATGAATCTCGTAAAAGAAGTGATAAAGAGTATTTTGTCCCATTTTTATTACAACAAAGGATTACAAAAGATGAAGAAAAAATACTAGATATTAAAGATTTACAACCAATGGATACACAGCAAAGTGCTGATGAGACGGTGTTTTCACAGTTGATCGCTCCACCCAGACCCCCACGACCGCCACCTGAAAAGGTTTACTATGTGGCAGAACGTGATGTCATTAACATTTCACCCAGTACATATCTAAAATTGCATCGTGTAAGTTTCTTTATATTTGTTTCGTTTCTTTTATTGATATCAGCTCAGTTTACTTTTATACAAATACAAGAGCAAACACATGAAATTTTAATAAATAAAACATACAAAGTCATAAAGTCAGTGTAAGATCGAAATATATTTTACCTCGTGAACACCAACATCTGGAAACAAAGTGATCCCTCGGAAGTATTAGTCACAACAAATTACATGAAAATTGCAGACTCGGGTTGTGTTTACATGAGTGTGTACATGAGGGATGATAAATATTACACCTCCTAGCACCGGCTTGATTGGTACTCAGTTCTCATCACTAAATAGCGCTGGTATCAATGATCCCAAAGGAGCAGTATATTATAACAACACTGAAGTGAGGTACGGGCAACTTTTTACAGCTGCCACACGGCACTTGCCCTTGCTGTTGTGAAGTATAAAACCCTGGAAACAAAGTGATCCATCGGGAGCATTAATCACAACAAAATAACATGAAAATTGCTGACTCGGTTTGACTGAGCCTGTGCATGAGGAAAAATGAATAAGTGCAACATCCCTCACGCCCCCCTAGCTTGAGTGGTAATCAATTCTCAACCAACACTTAATAGTGCTAGTATCAATGTCTCATGATGGAATCAGTGAGTGGCTGCGCCACTCGTGAAATATACCATTTGATGCTTATTCGGTGAAATATATTCCGATCTTACACTGAACTAAACAAATATCCTCTAAAAGGTAAAAGTAAAGGTCTTGTTTATTACAGTGTCACCCCTACTGAAAGGGCCAGCCATTTCTGACTTATAAGACACCTTTTGCTTTGATGCCATGTAATCCATAGTAAATTTTATTTGAGATGACAAAATTTGTATTTGTATGTACTTGGCTTTAACGGTGTGTGCTTTCTACTCAAATCAATGATAACAGCATGTTAAGGTAAAGCCAGCGGATACAATAATACCAAGCATCAAAACTGTTAATACAGACGGGACTGCCAAAGACATGTCAACGATACCGATATTTCCTATTTCTTACATTACTAGAACGCGGGTAACATTTCTATAATTTGATAATTGTTCCATTGTTAAGGTAAAAAATGCTGCGTATGTGCATCTGTTTTGTATTTCATAAAACCGATAAAATGTAAATATCAATATATTCTCAGGGTGAAATCTGCGAAATTTTAGACGACAGCAACAAGGAATTTTGGGTTGCGAGAAAAGGTGATGGGTAGGCATTTATTCACATTCTTGTACTTCTCAGCATTTTTTTTAAATCGATAACAACAATACAAATGATGTGTTCATATGTCGGAAAAAAGATTGGCATAATTTATCTGCTCCTAGCAGTCCGTTCGTCTGTATATTTTGTACCGATTGAAAGATGAGACTTCTTGACAGACATATTAACCTTGATCACATCTATCTTCTTGAGGAAAACTACAATGCCCCTAGCGTACATATTTGGAATGTGGCATTACCTATGTGACCTCTACAAAAGTTTTATGAATCTTTTACTAGGGTCAAACCGTTCCCATCCTGGGGCCATTTAGTATTATACGGTAATTAAGATCAAGCATTTTTCATATGGGACTCTTATATAAATATTGTTGTTGATAACTCAAACAAACTTTTTAACGCAGGGCGAATATCGCCTTGCCTAATTACATGTCATATTATTGTCGGCGATAATATTCAGCCTTTTTACTTTTTATTGAAGAAAAATAGGTCGAATCGTTTCAAGATTTGTCAGTATTAAACCGGAGCTTGACATGAACCCGTGAGTATAAAATTTCCTTATTATATATTTTTACACATTATTCCTTTTTACAAATCTGAGTAGCTCTGCACTGCAAATCTAACAGGTTATAAAATGCCATTCATATAACCTATATTCGTTGATAACATTTGAAACATTTTTCAATATTGTATCCACGTGAGTAATATGCAGAATATGTTGCAAATGTGTATCCCCGATATGAGCGAGTTGGCGGAGGTTACATAAAAAGAACTAGTACCGTATATGTTTAGAACGAACCAGAAATTGACAAAATCAGTAATATTTTATCTATAAGTAATATTTAAGTGTGACAAAGGTGAACTCATTTGGTTTAGACATTGGTGTTAAAAGAATATTTTTTAATCCTTATTTGTTCCAAACTTGTGTAACTATTAAAATATTGGCACGCATTCTGATTAAAAGTTACAAAGAAGGTCTATTTCTGTTGACGATATTGGTTTGTGATTGCAATTTTGGCACTCAGCTTATTACTAAGGCTCATAAGGTTTTTCATTCACCCTCGTTATAGTAACTTAGATGTATTTAACGGTGAATTTCACCGCTAAAGGTAAAACAGTGATATTTCTACTAATATTTAAGATTCTTAAAAGAACTTAGTAATTTAAAATTATATTTTCTCTGTCAATAATTCAAGGAATTATCAGTCTTTAAATATTAAAATAGGTATTCTATTTACAGTTGGTTTTATAAGGATGTTACATCGCAGCATTGTGAATACATTCTCAGCGAGGTTGGAGTAGATGGATGCTTTATTATACATGAAGCAGATTATTCACCTTACATGTTATTGTTATTCAGCGTAGACAGGTAGCTATTTCATGATTTTTTTCTTTTATTTAAACGTCTTATTAAAGTAGATTACCTCCAGAGAATAACATTATTCTTATATTTTTTAAAATATTTCTCCCAAATACATATAAGAATTGAATGAAATCAAAATGGCGCTTTGAAGTGTCAACTTTTTTTCAACATTTTTGCTTTAAAACAGAACGTAATTCGTACATATTGCGTGATTAACTCGAGATCCGTGATTAAGGACACAATAGAACCGAAGCGTGATTGTATCAGATATAAAGGGAAACAAACTTCAACTGCAACAGTTTTTATCGTATTTTGTGGCGCTTTAAGTTAAATTTAAGTAGTAACATCACATATATATCAATTTAAACTTAGACCTGAAAAATGACAAGAGGTAAAGCTACAGCCTACACCTTAAATTACTTTAGAAGACGATCCCGGATCACGTCCAACCATTGTTATGGCACCTGATCGTGTTGATGAAAATATATTTTCATTTTATATGGGCTTCTGCTAAAGTAACTTATTCAAAGACAAATACGTTTCACTGACGATTTTTGTTAACTTTCTTTCTTATCTTATTAAACAACATTAGACTTGAATTAGACTTAAAATTTCATTTCATTTCTTTTTTCATTAAATACCATCAAGAATGGTGTTAGTTCCTTTGATTGAATACATGTACTTGCTAATATATTTTGTAAGCAGGTTTGATTAATGAAAATACATTGATACATTAATTAAACTTGTTGAAAATGTACAAGTACAATGAACTGTTCAGAAATATACTAATTTATCTTTTTCGTTAACACATTTCATTGATCGATGATCTTTTATAATAGTATTAATAGTTGCTCTATAATGTTCTATATTTTAAAATATGTTAAGCTCAGACGGCAAAAATTAGAATAGTGCATGCATGTTTCATAACTTTAAAACAACAGTTCAGTTAGAAAAAATAAATTCACATTGCTGTATTCTTACTGAAATTAATTTTACAGAAATTTACTTGACAGATTGCAACTATGGTATTAATGTACCTTAAAATAGTGTTTAAGACGTTTAATCATGCGATTCAACGATTAAAAAAACAAATACTTTTTAAAAAAAGTCAAATTTGTCGAACACACACTATGATCAGTTTAATCTTTAAAATGAATTTTTACCAACCCAGTAACATGATTTTTCTTCTATTTATTCTCTAGCACTGGTGGCCAAGTGTATCGGTACCCTATCAACCTGAAAAATAAATACTTTTTTTTAAATCCACAAACACTGTTTGTATCAATGCCTGATCTCATACGCTACCACTATAAACGATCCGGCTGTTTACGTACATTTTTGAAGTGTCCACCACCTTTGAAGTATAAGGAAACCCAGGACTTTCCTTGTAAGTACACGTGGAATTTTTTTTGCAATTTAATACATTGTACTTGAAAAACAGGTACAAGGATGATTTTTTTCCGGGCAACATCATATTCTTTTTAACTTTCCATCATTGTTATACTTGTTACTATTATAGATAATGTTCTTGTTACGAATACTAGAAACAAATTAAACCATGATTTCATCTGGTTGCGAGTGTCACGTGACCGATTGTATGCCACATATAATTTCATACCTATGCCGCTTTTGAGACTCGAAATGTCTTTCTAAGCCGTTTGTCAACTAATCAAAATGGCTTTCTTGTGTAATGTGTCGATCGTACAAATTGACGGAAAAGGAAGCAACCGTCCTGCAAAAAGTTCATTATTATGGTTGAAATAAAAAAAAATCGATTTTTAGGTAACACTTGAATATAAACGTTTATTGCCGACACCGAAGTCGGAATTTGCTACGGAACATTTGCAAACGACGGTAAATCAACCACGATTTATCCCCAGTACTAATGTAGACATTGACGCATTTATTTTATGGAAAAAGAGACAGGTGTAATGTGAAGAGTGTTCTCTTCGGCTTGATCTAAAATCATCATGATATTTAGTGGTTTTACACCTATAATGCCAATAAGTTAATTGTTTACAAAAATTAAATTTTGTGTTTTGACAAATAGATTAATATTTTATAAACTATTAAACATTGCATAAAGAATTGTTTAAATTTAACAAGTTTTTTAACCATCATTTGATAAAATAAACAAATTGAACCATTTGTAAAATATCAGGACATTTCGTCCTCAAAATCATTCGAACTCAGTGTCATTCATACCAACGTTTCGATCTAATATATCTTGGAAACTTCAGTAAACGATCATTAAATATAACTACTTTATTTGGTATAAATAGAGCTTAATGCTGCGGACAGTCAGTATTTGGCCAGCAGCAAGTGATAACAGCTGAGAAAAAATTAAAATTTTAGATTTATTGCTTAGATTCTTGCACTATTTACGAAGTATATCAAAAGCATCACTTTATCATTGCGTTAAGTGTAATTGTTGGTACTAAAGTATTGAAACTCGATATCCAAGTGAGTTTTGTATATTCCAAAGCCTGAAAATTATACCAAGTATTAAGTAAAACATTTTATTTATAAAGCACGTTACTGTTATAAACACTATTTAATTAAATTTGATTCAAACAAATTATTTTCTTATCATTTGTGACCAATCAACTGGCAAAGAAGACGTAAGAAAAATTATATATACATGTATAACATCTATCCCGTGTACGTTGCGATCATACCATCGTGTCATCCCACTATCTCGTTTGTACCATCGTACCATCGTTCTTCGAAATAAATTGTTCAATAGGAACGCCGTAGAATTTCTTCAATGTTGCAATTTTCTGTAAAATATTGAAGCGAATGATTTTTGAAATATATCAACATTTAGCCCTTCTCGGTATAGTTTTGTCACTGAGGGTTTAAAGACAGTTCATTGTGAAATATACTGAAATAAGCCCCCAAAATGAACCTAAATTTGTGCTTATATATATATATGTTAGTTCAAAATGACAAAAATGTTTGGATAAGTGTATATTAACTCCATCAAATTATTAACAAAACGACTCCGCCATAAAAGCGGTGTTTGATTGGTTTTATGTTTGTATGGAGAAACGTTGACATAGTTCTCTTCCTATAGTTTCACCAATGTCACGTCGTCCTGGTAAGGCAGGTATACAACATCCAGATTACATCTGTGCTCATCGTTCCAAACTCTTTATTACTTAAATTTCGACTTAATAAATAATCGACAAAGTTTGGGTGTATACGTATAAGACGGTAATTTTATTTTTGAAAATTGGAGAAATTTCATTGGTTGGCAAATAATGTTGAACACTGAATAACAATTTGCCCGCTGAAGATAAGATAAGTTATCGTGCAAAACGTAAAATATGACGTCTCATAAAACAAGGCCACTAGAAGTGAGATGGAAAAAAATCATCTTCTGACCCTACTCAGTTTAAACCTCTTACTTATATCAGTTTCAGCGGTGTTTACTGGCTGTTTCACACCAGATTGCAATTGGAGGTTGCGAGGGAACTGACCGCGAAGGCCGTAGACATGGGCAAGGTTTATAGTTTACATCAATGCGATACGTGCGTTACACTAAAACACAGCGTACACGGATATCATTTCAATTATTTCAAGAAAAAACAAGTACACTAACGCTATCATTTCTTTGAATAGCATCCAGTTAATGATTCGGCAATTAATTCTTAAACACGTCTTTTATAATTTTATTCGCTTGTTGATCCTGTCATACACATGTCGTGTTGAAGTCTATATTCTTTTGCTGGCAGGACAAATTGTTGCTGAGGCTGAGAAGGGTCCTCCTGCAATATGTAATACTCAATTAGAAACTTAGCATAATGCTTTCTTTATTTCTTTCTCAGAAAACACGAAAATAAACTACGTAAAAGAGTTGTCTTTATCCGTATGATTATTCAGCCTTTCTTTAAATAGTTTTATGAAAGACTGGCTTAAAGGTTTCTGAAATCTTCTATCCCATACGTCGCGGCGTCTGTGTTCTTCTTCCTCGAGAGCTCTTCTTTTAGACTCTTTCAGGAGGCCGAATAAAGACATGTAGAAAGATTTTCACTTTACACTCATATTTTACTATCTAAGTCCTGTTCATCATTATAATGATGTTCATCATCGACATCGTCATCATTGTCATTATCATCATCATAATCATCAACATCAGACTAATCGTCACCACTATCGGACGAGTAACCTTTAACGCGTAATTGGTTCGCGGAATTTCATCGATATTCATTAGTTGTCTTAGCATAATTTCTCGACTGTAAACCTAAAAAATGTCACACCGTAACGATATTTTTCAATATTGCTCGATTTCTGGTCTACCACCAATAACCGTACGACCTATGCGTCGCTTGTTCAAATCGTTTTATAAAAAAGGCACTGAATTTGGGTGGATTTGCCACCGTAAATAATGTCTCCCCTTTGTCAGTTTTATTTTATGCGAGTCCAATAAAAATAATCTAACAAAAAATTCACCAATGTCCAGCTTTTTCATAATATTCCATCTCCATCTGTTATAATGCGCATGTTATATAATCAAGTATATGATACACACTACTTGATTACGTATTTATTTAAATACCGTAAAGCCAAACCGCCAATAGATTGCGTAATGGCATTAATAATCCAAAATGACCGGCGTGCATGCGCAGTTAGTGACGCTAAATCATCCCATATACTACTCATATAGTGTAACGTTTACATTTAGCACGTTTTAACCGAGTCTTCATTTGTCATACTATTTTGTAGTGATTAATGCTTTTTAGGGATAACTTTTTATCCAGTTTTACACTGTATTTTTATAGCGCAAAAGACGTTATGTTAAAAAATATGCACGGCCGGGCAATACAAGATTATACGGTGTGATTATATAGCGCATACCATAAAAACTATGTCTACTACTGTTTTATGTAAAACTTTGACGTCATTTAACTGGAAACAAGTTTAAGATATTCAAAGTAGACACAATCTACTTAATTTAATTTATTCTAAAACACGGATGTTAACGTCATAACAGTTATCAAAAATCCGCTTACAGACCAGTTTAATTCATATTTAAAAAGGTAAGAATGGGGATCAACATGTTTCTAGGCACTGATATTTCGCTGACATATAATTATGTTAATTGTGATAGACATGAAGATGTGAATGATTTTTATAGCAGAGTGGCAGGCTCATTGTTGAGAGTGAACGTGCTTTTTTTACCCCCAACAGTGTTGCAGTGTAGCAAGTTGACAAAAAAGGGAGAAAGTGGAAATATAATTATGTTTTGCTTAAACAATTAAAACTTGTAACCGATGTTTTTTAAATGTATCCATGGGCATTTGATTTTTATTTACGCAGTCTCAAAACAATTTCGGAAAACCTGTTTTCGTGGGCACCCGTTGTATTTATTATTTATTATTATTAGTTATACAATAAAACACAATGTAAAGAGAAATGGTTGCATATAAACAGTTCTGATGACAGTTTGTGAGAAATAGTCATTTTCAAACTAAAGTGTTCTTATCTGATGTAAAAGTATGACAAAGGTAATGACCGTTTTACCACTGTTCTTTTTCGTCCTTGCGTATAGTTATGACATCCTTAGACATGTTACTACTGTACGTTAAGTTTACGGTTATGTCTAAAGATAATGTAAAGTGACAATAACGACACAGTTGATAATAATAGTTTCAGATAAACTGGAGATCGAGAAAAATGACTTGGAGATTTTTCGGAAAATTGGATCAGGAAGGTTTGGTGTGAGTTGAATTTACATTTAATTTAATATTTACATTAGTAGGCATTTTAAAAAACGTTCATCTTGTATATAATTTTTGAATTGATATACATTTTCTTTTGAATTAAAAAAAAAGATAATTTACTTTTCTTGAGTGTTGCTTTAAATTTCGTAAGCAACGAATTGTCTTTAAGTCCACAATCGGTTATGTAACAGGAGCATCAAAACAAGAGGATATCTGATTTGTACGAAGGAAGCGTAGTGCCGAGTGTAAATCAGACTGCCTAATCTTTTGTATAATAGGCAAAATAAACCCTTTCCCTGGTCCTTGACACATTTTCAATAGAAAGGTCTCTAAACTATAAAACAATATTGTTATATTTTACATTCATTTGAAATTCATGTAGAAAAAAAGGAAATTCTAAGCGTTAAAATGTTATTTCTCAATTCTCAGGTTATACATGTAGGTAAATTTGGAAGGACAGAAATAGCAGTTGAAATTGTTGAAAACATTCATAGTTTTCCTGAAGATATGTTGATGGAGGCCAGAATTATGTCGTAAGTTACTTAACTTAATTATTTGTACAAATTCATTCTTTTTCATCTCAAATTAAGTTTTATTTCGTCAAGTACTAGAATGCATGGCATCCAGATGTGTCTTTTCAAACATTTCTTTAAACATTCAAAAAAATCTTGATAGTAGATAGTCAGTGGGATGTGGGATATTCTTGTTTTTCATTTTTACTTGATTTTTTTCAGTCATTTAAATCATCCAAATTTGGTACAGTTATATGGCATAGTTTCCAAATCGTTACCGTTGATGAAAATAACAGAGTTCATGCAGAACGGTTTGTGCTTCAGTTTTGTTTTATCGTTTTTGAATGGAATTTGTTGTTATCAATAAATTACATTTTTCCTCTGACAAGATAAACATTTATGTGTCGTTGCATTACACATGTTGGCTTTAAGAAAGAAAATAGTTGATCATCAGTTGTGTATTTGATATCTTTATCTCATTATTTTAAGTCACAAGAACACAAAGTGCTCAATGTAAACTATTTACATTCGTATCACCCTGTGTCCAGCACCGGTCTTTCTAATTTTTACTTCTCACTTGGCCAATGCAGCAACAGCGAAAAATAGAAAAAAACCTTTAAACGACTCGTCCTTCTTCAGCACTTGATGAATTTTAATTAAACCATACAGTATACATACAAAAATTATGTTTAATGCCGCAGTTTCAAAAAATATCTATGGTTTTGTATTCGTTTTGTTCCTTATCAATTTACAAAGTGATTTAAAGAAAAAAGTTGAGTTTGATTTTAAGATTTTTTTTCATTTTGAACACATGCATGCGCGTGCGCGTATACTTTCCTTTTCACAAGTTCAGCAAGTTTTCCAGCAACTCAAACAGCGACTATGTGTAGGAAATCTTATAACATTTAACTAAATAAAACATCAACAGATAAATATCGTCAAGCTGTAAAAATATAAAACACTTTCAAAGTAACATTATGCCATTCCAAGGGTATATAGTGAGTGAACGGGTGAAGATCAAAATAAGGTTTTCATTTTGACATAATTCGTTTCAATTTAATAATACATTGTAATTACGTTTGCATAAACAATAAATAACACACAGATCCAGACGAAAATATCTGTTGTAATCCATTACAGTTTACCTATAACGCTTAATTTCTAAATAGAGTGGGGACAGTCTTTTTAAATTTAAGGCAGATTGATGATTTTATCCTAAATATTTTGTAATATCAACTGTTGGCCAAACACCATTTTGACTGTCAATCTTTTCAATCTTTTGAAATATAAAGTTGATTCAGCACAACTTGACTATGAAAATATGAGCATAACGTCACTTTAACATAAATAACAATTTGTGTTTATACGAGTAATTTTCTTGTCTGTACTGGGATATGAACCCCAGACTTAAAAGCTTTGTGCGCACTTTTGTGAAATAGTTGTGCATCGCACATGAATAAACGCAAATAAAAAAAAAATCGTTTCATTTTTAGTGTTTGCTTCATTTCCTTTTCTTTGATTATTTTCTTGTCCAAATCTTTAATCTTTAATATCTCAAGTAAGCTCTGGTATTTGCATTTTTGATGACTGTATATTCTGATCGATATGTTGTTAGTATTTTATTTTAAATTATTCTTCAGTTATTTTATTTTCATTTAATCTCTACATGCTGTTGTTATTATTTGAAATAATTCATCCCAATTATATTACTTCAGGAGACTTATACCGGTTTCTTATAAAAAATAGACTACGTCTTTTACTTGATTGTGAAGTCTTAACAGATATGTGTCGTCAAGTTTGTCGAGGGATGGAATATTTACATAACCATGGATATATTCTTCGTAACTTATCAGCAAAAAATTGTTCGGTAGGCAAGAATGGGATCGTAAAAGTTTCAGATTTTGCTCGGGCAAGGTTAGTATTTTTACTGTAATTTTAGGATATGTTGCCTGCTTTTTAATTTTTGTCTTTTGACGTCTTATCTGAGATATGCAGGCTTCATAACCTCAGATCCCCTTTAAAAATTCCATTTTATTTAGTTTCCCCCATTGTTTTCTCGGTTAGGGCAAAAGCATTCTTTTACTTGGGGACCATACGCCGCTTTTCATGGATTGGCACTACTGTGTCACATTGAAGGTTCCATGATAACCGCCGTATGTCCACATCTGCGGATGTCTCTAAATTCAAATTTTTACCATTTCGTGTTAAATGTTGAATTCTGCTTAAGCCGGTGCTAGGGGGCGTGGGCGGTAACTTGCACTTTCCAGTACCGTCCATGAACAGGCTCAATCAAACCGAACCTGCAACAGTTTCAATTTTGTTGTGTTGGACTTTCTTTAGGGATTCTGCTTTACTCTATTTTATAAATAAGGAAATGGACAGGCCGTCGGGCAAGCGGTAAAATCAATTAAAAATAGATTTTCTAGGTGCGATACTGATATTGTTGATAACCAAAACTCCATATTATCCAATTCAAGCTATTGTCGCAAAGTTGATTTCAGAAAATTCTTATTATAATCCCCGCTTTAGATGTTATCCTTTATTCTGTGAAAAGGGGGGATAATTTTACGACATAAGTGTTTAATACAAAAAGTGAACTTGTTAGAAAAAAACAAAAAAGATGATTCCTTTAAATTTGACATCCTGTAACTGAAAAAGGCAGTAAACCTTTTAACTTTTAACATAAAGGAAAGAAGAGTACATTTTAACAATTTCCTTGCAGGTCATTGAAAAGTCATACTTACCTCATAAAATTATATAAAATAAATTGAAATTAGAACACTGTCAGATTTCTAAGTGAATATATTTATATACAGTAACTAAAAGAAAAAAATGAAGTACCTTTTATTAGTACCGAAGGCTCAGTGTGAGCTATAAGTATCAAATGGGGATACTCCGGCGTCTGGCGTCCGTCGTCCGTCGACATGCGTCAACAATCATCTTCTTCTCTGAAACCGCTGGACAGATTTACTTCAGATTTGGTCTGTAGCATCCTTGTGACAGTCACATCTAAATGTGCTCATATGATTTTAATTGGCCCCTTTTAAGTGTCAAGAGAGCTAAAAACAGAAAAACCCTTAGACATCTTCTACTACAGAACCAATTGGTGGATGATCACCAAACTTTGTCTGTAGCATTCTTAGGTAGTCTTCTATCAAATTTACTCATATTAATTTGATTGGCCCCTTTTAGGGGTCTCTAGACCTAAAATTAGAAAATCCTTTTGACATCTTCTTCTACAGAACCAATTGATGGATGATCACCAAACTTTGCCTGTAGCATTCTTAGGTAGTTTTTTTATCAAATTTGTTCATATTAATTTGATAGGCCCCTTTTAGGGGTCAAGGGAGCTTAAAATAATATAAACCTATAGACAGCTTTTTCTACAGAACTCATTGCTGGACGATCACAAATTTTTGTTATTAGCATTCTGATAGTAATCTTATATAAAATTGCTCATATATATTTGATTGGCCCCTTTTAAGGAATGCTAAAGCTAAAATACCCCAGACCATGGCCTTTCTTCAAATTATAGTTTGATGAAAGGGAAACAACTCATGTTGGAATGTCTTTCTTTTTTTTGCTTATGAAATAATTTGACGTCATGACCTCTGGCAAGAGAAATAACTTGAGCACATTATAAAGGATATATAAGGACTTAGTATCGAGCTTTATTTGGTTTCATTCATATTCACTTAATTACATCACTAAATTCAGTGTTTTCTATAGAGAGCGTTTAATGCGTTTTTGACGCAGTTATTTTGCATTTGACGCTGTAATATTATAGCAGAGCGTTTTCCGTGACGCATATTTTTGCGAGCGTCGTAGTAAATATTTTTTCTATAAATAGCAAGAATTTCATCGGCTGATCGGTCACATGATTTATCTTAGACGCTTTAGTGATTATTACTCGTTAAAAGCGCTCAGACGTTTCAGATTGTGACGTCATTATCCGGGTAAATTCACAATGACTGCTTCGAAAAAAAACAACAAGCGAAAATTGGCTTCATTCTTCAATAAAGACATGTTGATGAGGCGACAGAATCTATCGTAAACAACTCTGCGCCTTTAATCAGTGAGGTTTCCCAACCAAATCAATCGGCGAATGCTGAAACAACTGAGAAATCCAAGCAAAATGATAATGCTCTTAAGCGAGTTTTTCGTACCAAGTGGCTTGAAAGCAATTTTTGGTTTCGGTAAGACGGTAATAAAATGACTTGCACTGTTTGCATAATTGAAAATAAAGACAATCCATTCAAATCGGGATGTACAAACTTTAGAGCATTCGGAACTGCCTCGACTATTATCTATAATAACCTCGGAAACAATACGGGTTGAAAGTAGTTCTACCACGCGGTTTCAGATGTAAAACGAAACAGAGATAATGTAAAACGAATGTAAATATTTGATATCTAATGTCTGGTCTGTTCCGGTAACTCTTGTGCTTGAAAATACGTCTGACAACAATTTGCAATTTAAATATGCCCACTGATGTTCAATTTCAAACAAATCCGACTAAATGTCAACAGGTTGGTTTTTTGTACTTTCGGTTTCTACAACCATAATAATAAATATATAAATAATGTATTGTTTGCTTTGGTACCTATGAATTCACTTATTTTAGGTGGACTTTTACTACATATATTGGAAATAAACTTGTCAACAACACCAGTATTAAATTACTATTTGTTTACATGTTTAGATTCTAAGCGTAGGTTAGATCGAAATACCGCATCCGTTCTGTGAATTCATACTATTGTTTTCGAGGTCCTTATCCGAAGACTGACGGAAAGGGCCGAGTAGTTGCGATTGGCTTTAGAGTTTTGTAGTATCGTATGGTACAACGGGAGTTGAAGGAAGTTAACGGAAGGTTCCGGACCAACCGGAACTAGTGTGTGAGACTTGACAATTGGGCGCCATATTAGTGTAATTTATAACTAGAAGAAGTAAGCAATTCCTAGCTTGGCTACGATCCAGACGTGGAATGTAAGTCGATTGTTTGTATTGTCAATCCCTACATAATCAATCGCGACAGTTCTATATTGGTGGCAGCGGTAATTTTTACGAATTCCGTTCCGAAAGATAGATGCTACCAAAGCTCCATAATTTTACCGATTGTGCACGAATTTGCCCTCAAATAAAAAGTTTGTTGTCCCATACCTTACACCTTACATATTTTGCATGTGATATTTTGTGTATTCATTCACAAAAATTATACAGAAAAAAATGTTCCATCAAAATTAACCCTGCTGTAGTGGTCATTTACTCTGCATTATTTTATTCTATATAGTCTCATGGGAACACACTTGCAACATAGATAATTTTAACAAAGCCTCCAAAATATTAGGGCAAAATATTTCAATAACTAGAAGGTCAAGAAAAAGTTGAGTCTTTCAGCAAGTTCATTTGAAAAATAACACTGAAAAACAGTTGTTTCTGGTGAGCGACTCAGCGCCATCATGGCCCTTTTGTATTTGATTTAGTTATTTAAGTTTGTATTTGCCTTACCAGGTTTTTAAGAAAAGGAGAAACTGTAACCTTTAATGCCATACGGGTTCCATGGGCACCACCCGAAGTTTATCACTCTGGTAAAGGAAATATCAAGTCAGATATCTGGTCTTTCGGTAATTATTTTATGTTGTTATAGCATTTATTCGTAAAGTGGTAACAAGAATACATTTGCAGTCTCTAAACTATTGTTCGTTCGAATATATCATAAACAATCTCATCATATACGATGAATGCATAATGTCTGTTACAACACACCCTGATTGTATTTAACACTTTTTTACGTCAGGATTGTGTTATGATATTTTATTCTTACATTTTTAAATTCATAAATAATTACTCGATATGTTTTACTTGTTTAAATGCTTAACTTGATTTAAGAGAAAAATTAATAAATGTTATTCTTGTGCATTGAAAATGCTAATTTGAGTACAAATCTACAAAAGCAACAGAAGCATAGCAGTAGAACTCTCCAAAATAGGAAAGCAAAATAATGCAAGATTTCCTTTACGCAAAGTGACATTTAAGTTAACCATAAACAATTATTTGTGTTATATATTTCAATAAAAAAACTTACAGGCACATTTTTCCTCAGAAATGAATATGTTCCTTCTTCTGAAAGAGCAAACATGAAGTTAATAAGATTGATATATTGGCTTTAGAGCATGTAAGATGGTTAGCGTCAAATCTTAAATTGTGTGTCATCAATGTTTCAATCTGTAAATAAAGGAGTAGTTTGACTTCCTTTCTATAGCTGCCCTAGTTACTTTAGAAACTATAAAAGGACACAAAAACTGAAAAGCTGTTGTGAAATAAAAACAAAATCATATTTACGGGACTATGAGCCTAGAAGATGAATTGGGCATAGCTTAACAGTACTGGCTTTTGTGATTGGTATATGTTTTACATACGGTAATTAAATATTGACACCATTGTCTTTTGAATCAATTTGTTCAGGTGTTTTAATGTGGGAAATATTTACGTGTGGTGATGTGCCTTTCATATATGAACGTAACAGAAAGGACAAAAGAATAAAGATTTACCGACCTCCAAAACCGACTTCATGTCCTACAGAAATAGACATGTTATTGTTGCGGTGCTTGGAATTGGTATGTTTAATAACATTGAATCTCGTTCGTGGTATTTAACGTTAAGTATGTGTAGGATAAATATCGGGAAAAGTAAGGTATTTCTTTTTCGAGATTTTTACTCAATTTGCAAATCAATATATCAAAATAAGTTCTGTTTTGAAATTAGCTTCATCTGATTACAGCCAGCTTCTAAATAATGCTATGCATAATGTAAACATAAGTAGATCTAAACCTTAGTCAAACTGGTTAATGTAATTATATGGCGTTCTGCATTCTTTTCGAGTTATATTTGATAATTAATTTATCTTGCTTGTTAAATTTATTTTTGCTATCCAAACCTTTGTTGTCTTTTTTCTTAGGAACCTTCTAATAGACCTACATTCAAGGATTTGAAGGCTCATCTTGAAGGTTTGCGCACATGTTCATGAAATAGCAAATTTTTTCTTATATAAAAATCTGAAAACTTTACTTAAAATTTGTCATTGCCATGTAAAAAGAGAGAAAAGTCATAGTTTCTAATCAACTTCCGTATACTTATATACTTATTTATCGTAAATTATATTAGATTTGTAATATTTTTGGTTGACTTGTTATACGTTTTTCATTTTTTATTCTGTTCTATTTTGTATGTCGCAGTTCCATATCTATTCATATATTTTTACAGAATGTTACTTGAAGGTACAGGATGATGAAGATTCAGTAAGTAAATTTTTGTATTCAAAACGGTCGTACCAGCAAGAAAACTTTCCTTAATCACATGATCAATTCGTGCCATTTGAATATGAAACGTTTGAAATACTTTCAAAAATAAAATTGCCGCCTTAATGACAAAGTAAACAAAATAAATAAAACTGATTTCATTAAAGCTGTTTTGGTACATCAATATAAAACACAAATGCAATATTCCATATTTGCTTTAGATATACTCTGAACGCTTTTGCTAAATCATAAATAAAATTTGTTTTGAATTTTTTAAAGTATCTATAAATGAGGACCTTTAAATTTTTTTTTTTAAGTTGCCGAACACCCTCTTTACAGCAAATTAAAAAATTTTGCATGTTTGTTTGCATTATTCACGGGGTTTTAGGGTTAATATTTTTTCCAAGTTACCCCTTGAATAAAAGTGGGTCATTAAAAGATATTTTCAGTAAAAGTAGCCAAAAGGAAAAAATCGTTTTTACCTCAAACCACTTTCCCAGCTTGCTTTTTTTAATCCCAAAGGCTTCCTTCTTTTGGAAAAATATAGTTTGCTTTGAAAGCCATGGGGAAAGGCATCTGGGGCCTTCCTCCACCTTTAAAGCTGAAAGACGTCATATGACATATACTATGCTCTGTTGGTGTTACGTAAAGCCATATAAAAAGGAAAATGCGATAAATAAAAACAAAACGATATAACCTAACCTTTTAATTACAGGACTCCAATTTACTTGATGAATTAGGATTTGATCCCTTAGACAAACAGCTTTTTATACATGCATTGAAAGAAGGAAACGAATCAGATAACTTAATCAGAGTTATGGTTGTTGGAAATTTTAACCAGGGTAAAACAAGTCTAACAAGAAGACTTTTAGAGCTTCCGATGGAAAACATTGAGAGTACTGATGGTATAGATATTCATGCAGCAAATTGTGAAAACAATGTAACATGGAAAACAACTTGCTCCCATGCTGCTGAAATTAAAGGTGCACGTCGATTAGCAAACATTATAAAACAAGGCATTAAAACAATTTATAATACTGAAACACTAGACGATGGCAATGAACAGGAAGACGATATGATGCTACAAGGAGAATACAATGATGCTGATGATAAAGATGCTGCATCATTTGAATATAATGATAAACGTGGTTCTCTTGACAAAAGAGAAAATCAAGGCGATTGTCTAGAATCAGTCTTAAACAAAGACATTTCTAAGACTTCCGTTTCAGAGACATCATCGGAGGGTTACAGTGATATAGAGGAATGTTTCACATCGGATCCAGACGTATCTGAAGAAAGAGCAATCATAAACGGGCTAGTCCTACACATTAAAGCAGTAGATTTGCTTTCAGAATTTACAGAAAAACTGAAAGATGAAAACTATAATGTTTCAAACCAAAATGACAATGGTATTAATGTCAATATTTGGGACTTTGGAGGACAGTTCATATATTATGCCACTCACCAGATTTTTCATTCAAGGGACGCAATATATCTTTTAGTTTTTGACCTTACGAAGGACCTTGATAGCATAGTAGAGGATGAAGACTTTCCAGACAGAAAGTTTGATATGAGGACATGCTTGAAATTTTGGATCATGTCAGTGCATGCTTTCGTCGGAACAAAGGACGGCAAGGAACCAAAAATAATACTTGTAGGGACACACAAGGCTGATTGCATCAGCAAAAGTGATATTGAAAAGAAGTTTGACGACGTATATGATCTCTTTCTTAAATCGAAAGCCAGAAATCACATCTACAAGATACCATTTGCTATCGAAAACACAGATCCAAATGATCCCGGTGTTACAGAACTAAAGAGGGCAATATTTGAAATAGGATCAGGTAATGCTAAAACCAGCAAGGTTCCTGCAAAATGGATTCAATTAGAAGAGGCATTAAAAGGAAACAAAGAAAATAGAAAGATTTTGAAATATAAGGATGTTCAAAACATAGACAAGTCTACAGATTTGCCCATCAATGATGAGGAACAGTTAAAGCTTTTCCTAAAATATCACCATGCAAAAGGAACAATTGTGTACTTTGATGAGGAAAAACTCCGGGACTTTGTCGTTATTGATCCGCAATTTTTGGTGGATGCTTTTAAATGTATCATTACATCTAAACGATTTTGTAAGTGGAGATCAGACATACACGTGTTATGGGAAAAGTTGATAGAAACAGCAGTTCTAGACAAATATCTGTTGAACAGCATTTGGGAGCATGATGACAAAAACCGTTTTATGGAACATAGAGATATTCTGTTGGCTTTTTTGCAAAGACATCGAATATTGGCTGAGATGCAGGTAATTGATGAGATTACTTGTGATGCAAGAGGCACGGGGAAATACATTGTACCAAGTCTTTTGAAAAGTCAGGGTGATCAATCAATTCTGAAGAAATGTGTAGAAGGGAAAAATTATTCATTATAGTCATACTTGGTCTTTCATTGGAGATACAACGATTATCAAAACTGTATTTGAAAGAACTATTGCAGCAGCTCTCGAGAGATGGCCGCCAATAGAGATAGATGGCATATCGTTGGTATTTCAGAGTACTTCTTTCTACCTTCTTGATCTTCAACATGCAGGTATCATTGCATACTCTACTGAAAGGGGAATTGAGTTGGCAGTAGTCAATCAATGCCCCCCTGCAAATGTCGAAAGTGCGGTTTGTGACCGTTTCCGTAGATTCGTAGAAACTGTCGTTTCAAACGAGTTCCGGCGTCACAACTGCAGTAGAAACGATATTCCTTTTACTTATTACTTAAAGTGCAACCATGCCGCTCATAAATGTCAAGGAAGTAAAAATGTCCATTATGGATTAGAGAACATCAAAAAGAAATATCGTGTATGCTGTCCAGATAATTCAAACCATGCAATAATTACGAAGAATGCATTAGCAGAATGGTTTCAAGATGGAACTACTATTAATAACGAAAAAGGCCTTCAAAAGATAGTCACGGAAAAGGACTTGACGAAAGTTGCCCAAACCATCGGTCAGAATTGGGAGCTATTAGGTCCCATGTTAGGTGTAAGCAAAGTAGATGTTGAACGAATAAAAATGGACCATAAGCATTGTACAGAGACAGCTATTTTTTACATGTTGCACAAATGGAATATGCAATGCCCTGATCAAAATACCATGGGCGATTTGATAAATACAATGAAAGAATGTGAGGCACTCTCAGTGGATTGGGATAAAGTCAACAACATATTGGATGGGTTCTTAATGCAGTAAAGGTGAAGCAGTAAAAAAGCGTTTTCAACAACAACCCAGCTTCATGAATGATTAAGTGCCCCGGATTAAAGTAAAAACAAATTATCATTTATTGTCCATTGAACCATGTGAAATTGAACAAAGAGTAATACTGAACCTCTACCACTACAAACAAATTTTTTTGTTGGTTACTTGTGTGATTTATACTTTACACATGATACTCATTTGTGTCTAAAATGTCAAGCGAATAGACTTCTTAATGTATTTAAAATGATATGTTATTCGGAAAGGTTCTTTGTGTTATAAACTTACACGTACTTATACGGCAATTCTACGGACGAATTTTGAACATGTGAAACTGAACAAAGAGTAATAATGAACCTCTACTACTACAAACAAAGTTCTTTGTTGGTTACGTGTGTAATTTATACTTTACGCATAATGCGTATTTGTGTGTACAATGTCAAGCGAATAGACTTCTTGATATAGTTTCAATATGTTATTCGGAAAGTTCTTTGTGTTATCAACTTACACGTGCTTATACGGCAATTCTACGGATGTTGACTCTGATTAGTTAAGGCTAATAACAATATACAATTATGTGCTATGACACAAATACTGTAGATTTTTACTTTTGTTACAGATACAAGAACGCTTTTCAATGAAATGATTCAAGTACATTTATTTACGTAAATTGTTTATGACTTATTGTTTTGTTTCTTTTTGTGATTTTTATTATCTAAAATCTCGATTTCATTGTTTGATATACATGTACATGTACAATGTTTGAAAATGATCCAAAAGTTTTTGTTATGGTTCAACTTTATCATAACTTGTCTTTTTTGACTGATATTATAAACAACTATTATTTATTTATATTAAGTACAATATTAATTATTCAACTATTGAAAGACTTCATGACTACTTTTTTTGTAAACCCTATGTCGTGTTTTACGTTATTAATAATTGTATAAAATTCAGGTGTTTAAAATACATGCATTATTTGCTTTACTTTTTATATCCTAGTATATTATCATGACAGAACGGTCATAAAGTAAGCCTAAGAAACAGACCATTTTAATTATAGAATAGATCGTTGAAACACAACGCTAAATATTTTGTTTGTTCATCGACCAATACGTAAAAATGTACATGTATGTATAACGTTAGAATACAAAATACGTATATCTGGTCTAATCTGGGTGAGTTAGAGCTCATATTTCCAAGAATTTTACCCGTGACTTATACATAATTATAAAGGGTATTGAAACAGAGGAATGCTTGTCATTCATTACCAAATTCATAACTACATTGTTGTTTATACATATAACCATTTTTACACCTGTTGAGTAACTTGCAATAAATTGAAACTACACATCAATACTTTTTTCAACTAGCGTTCGATTATCTTTGACTATCAATGTTGTTTATACATATTATCATTAATTGTGTCACAAGTCGAAAAGCTTTTTAAACGACAATCAATTTTGTTTATACATAAAAACATTATGACACCTATCGAGTAGCTTTTTAAACGACCATCAATGTTGTTTATACATATAATCATGGTGTCACCTATCTTTTTAATGTTGTTTATACATATAATCATTGTTTCACATGCAGCTTTTTAAAGGATCGAAATCACATATCGTCGATATATCATTGATTTTTATTTCTTAATTGCAGTGGCCTACAAGGTATTAAGAAAAACTGCATATATTTCAATACATAGAAGACACAAAATAAGACACACGTTTTATACACAGTCAATTTAAGACCAGTCAAACTCAGTGGAATGCGGAATGTTTTTTTTAAGTTGTTCATCTTCTAGGGAAGTTGCAATATGTTTCTCAAAGTCACTAGATTACAAAATATATTAAGATGAAGTTGATTATTTTGGAAATCATGTCATACTGGACTTATCTGTTGGAGAACTAATATTTACTTTAGTATCGTCTTATGGACCGAACTCAGACAATCCGTCCTTTTATGAGAACATTTTCAATGTCGTTGAGAATATAAGAAATGACTCGTATTGCATTTGTGGTGATTTTAATTTGGTGCAAAATCATGATTTTGAATATAACTACAAAAATTTAAATAATAAAAATGCAAGATCAACTTTTTTGAAACACATTAATTAAAAAGTTTAACTGATCCTTTTAGGGAGCTCCAACCTGATGAAAAGCAATATACTTGTCGAAAGGCAAACCCACTGCAACAAGCTAGACTCGATTTCTTTCTTTTATCTTCTTTAATGTTACAAAACTGTAAAAATATTTTAATAACGCAGTTTTCAATGTGACCATTCAATCATTATATTGCAATTAAAATTTAGTGATTTTGAGCAAGGTAAAGGGTCTGGAATCAAACCCAATCTCTACTTTGAGATATTAAATATGTTAATGAAATAAATAAAAACAATTTAACACGTTAAAAAACAATATATCATACCTGTTAATAATTTCGGAACAATATATAAATAACACATGGGTTTGTGGGTAACAGTAAAAATATCATCCCGAGGAAAATACTGTTACCCGAGGCGTAGCCGAGGGTAACAGTATTTTTACGAGGGAAAATATCAACATGAAACATTGTAGATAGATAGATCTCATTAAGTAGAAGTGCAATGCACAAATTGCCTACTATTGAGGTTCTTGCCCTTTCTTCATTTTAACACTTTGCACTTTGAACTTTGTCCGGGGCATAATTCTTAAATTATAAAAGATATCAACATGAAACTTTGTAGGTAGATAGATCTCATTGAGAAAAAGTGCAGTGCAAAAGAACCGTAACTCTGCCTTGCTTGATTTTGGAGTTTTTGCCCTTTGTTCATTTTTACACTTTGAACTTTGTCCGGAGCATAACTCTAAACTATAAGAGATATCAACATGAAACACTGTAGCTAGATTGATCTCATTGAGAAAAGTGCAATGCAAATGAACCATAACCCTGCCTTGCCATAATTTTGGAGTTATTGCCCTTTCTTTACTGTAACACTTTGAACTTTATCCGGGACAAATATATGAAATCATAAGAGGTATCAACATGAAACTTTGTAGGTAGATTGATCTCATTAAATAGAAGTGCAGTGCAAAAGATCCTTATCTTTGCCTTGCTTGATTTTGGAGTTATTACCCTTTTATTATTTTTACACTTTGAACATTGTCCAGGACATAGTTTTTAAAGTATAAGACAAATGAACAAGACACTTGGTAGGTAGATAGATATCATTTGGTAGATATGCATTGCAAAAGAACTATAACTCTGTCTAGCCTTATTTTGGAGTTATTGTCCTCCGTTCATTTGTACACTTTAAACTTTGTCTGTGACATAACTCTGATACATCAAGAGGTAAACATTCCTGTATCCAAAACCTTTTCGGGGAGCATCACCCGGTTCAACCGGCTCTTGTGTGTTCTTGCTATCACTACCGTAGCCCAATTCCTTTATTGATCTGTCTTAGGAGATCCTGATGACAAACCTCACCTGACATTTATCTTATTAACAAATATATATGGACATACGAGGTATAAACAAAAAGTTCTCGGCCCGATATACTTCTAGCCACTACACTGACATTTACACATTATATGTCGATACCGATATCTTATTGAAGATTACTGACCGAGTAACTCGAAGTTTTACACATAATACATAGCATAAAACACACTTTGATCAGTAGAGGTGTGTGTCATTTAGACCAAATGGAGAAAGCTGAAATCAGAGCCGTCTTTAAGTAAGAAAGGGATGTCCTCCAAGGAAATTCATGAAGACTTCATGGATACACTTGAGAAGGAGTCCCCTTCCTATAACACTGTTAAAAAATGGGCTGCTGAATTTAAGATGGGCAGGGAGAGCATTGAAGATAATGAGCGGCCTGGGCAGCCAAAAGAGGCCATCACGTTGAAACTTCCGAAGTTGTGCACGATCTGGTCATGTGCGACAGAAGACGAGACCTGCGAAGCATTGCTTGGGAAGTGAGTATAAGCTTTGGTTCAGTTCAGGCAATTCTGACTGATGTCATTGGCATGTCAAGGGTTATCGCTAGATTGGTCCCCGTCAATCTTTGAAATAGTCAGCGGATAATCATGATTGACCATCTTGAGCAAGGTCGTACCATAAACGGTACGTACTATGCAGACAAATTGAGATGAAAATCGCGCGTAAAAGGAAGGAGCAAAATGACTCAAGGCCTAATCCTACTCCACGTCAATGCACCAGCTC